AAAGTGTGTGAAGGTGCCGCGTGCTTGATGGTGTCCCCACCCAACCCCAGGTGTACCTGTTTGTGGTACAGAAGTCCCCAAAGCCACTCCCTCAAAAACAAATGAAGATGTACCTGTTGTGGTACAGCAGTTACCCAAGCCACTCCCTCAAAAACAAATGAAGTGACACAGCACGTTCCATTTGGTTTTCCACAAAGTAGGCGGACATAATATGCACCAGTCACCCTTCTGATCTAAGAGTGAGACATCCTGGCGTGACAGCACATGCTGTAATACGTATGTAAGTTGAATGTGTCACTAGTATTCGCAGGAAGGTAAGTACTAATCAGCTTAATTGCATCACTCATTAAAAAGAAAAATAAAACCAAAACTTAACTCTTGGTAAGTACACGTTCTGCTCTGAACTAAGGTTGTGCTTTAGTTTTTCTATTTCAAGGTTTCGGGTGATCCCATCATTATACTACTAGTTCTAGTTCAGAGTTCTCCAGCAGGCACCCAAGGCTTTCCCATTAGCATAAAGAATGTGATGGTGTGCACCTATTTGATAGTGTTTTTTAGGGTTTCCAAATAACTGAAACACTTTCACCACAGGATTGAAATATTTATTGACAAAATTCGAGTTTGCTGTTATAGTTGAACCAACAGAGCAGGTGTTACTTGTCTCTGAATCAAGCAAAAATTATGCCCGACATCTTAGAGAACTTCTGAGGAATTAATAACTGTACAACACATATTAGCAGTGTTACGATTCTGAAAATGAAGAATGAAACCTATCTTTAATGATAGCTCTTATTTAGGGCATTCTGTAAATGTTTTTACATAAATGTGTAATAACCTTTGCTAGTCACAATAATATTAAGACAGATTTCACGATAATTTTAAGTCTAATACAGAATCTTAATTTTATCAGACCTTACAAAAGTTAACTACTGATCTTGTTACATTTTACAAATACAATCTTTAAAATGAAACATCAGCCTGAATGACCGCAGACCTTCTTGTACACGGATATCTAATAATTCTAGAGAAGAACACTATAGCTACATTCCAGGAGAAGCAGTAACACTGGAATTTCCTTTCTTTAAGCACTGTCCATACAATTTACAAAGTCCTTCAGAAACGACGGTATCTCCAGAATTCATACTGAAGTGCGGAGGTTAAATGAATAAATTAAATGTCTTCTAGCAAGCTCAAATGAGTTGGTCCCAAATGGTATGAGTCATTTTAGCAATTTTTGGTAGGTTAGACTATATTAATATTTTGTATTGCAGCACCTTCTACAAAAAGATAGCAAAGAATTTTACATGTGTTATCAGGGGCTTCTCTGTAAGAGGCTGGGCCGTTGTCGAGGGACAGGAAATTGCTATTATGGCCCCTGTGTTTTGTGGCGGCCAAACAGGTCTCACCATAGGACAAGGGCATGACCATGGCCTGGAAGCTAATAAATAGAGAAAGCTAATAATGTGGCAGATGGGCTTTCTTCTAATTCAGGATGTTCCTGATAAGACTTAGGCTGAAAATGATCAACAGAGAGTGTGGATGTTTCTGAAGGTTAATTCTAAGAAGTCTGCCAAGGAGGAAGACTCACGGATTTCACAGTACGCTCATGACCTCGTCCCCTGCTACTTCAGAAGCAGCTTCCCAAACACTGCTGTTCCACAGTTGGCAACCAACTGTATTCTTGACTTTGACCTATTGTCAGAGGGGAGATGGACTTAGTCTTTCAGTTATTTATACCGACTCCTTGAAACCAGAATCCAGTTTTGGAAGAAGAATATATATCTGTGTATATGCGTGTTTTGTGAGCTTAAGTCTGCAAACAAAATCAATTTGGAGTGATAATTGAGGGTCTTTTCTTAGAAACCAGACGCTTTGAATAGTACTTAGTACAGGGCATGGTGTAAGACACCAAGGGAAAAGTAGAAGATATTATAACAAACATTCCTAGTCCACCATATACATTTTATAGCATATTTTTCAACAGGATTATCAGTCCAAGAAAGTCTCCAGAAGATCCCGTCCTTCTGACATTACACCTGTGATTTTTCAGTAGATAGATGTTCTCTTTCCCAGGGATACTTTATTAGGAGAACCTAAGCTATTTAAATCAGCATTAATAATCGAAAAGTCACCTTACACTGCTATGTAAGAGGTTATGCTACACATAAACTGTTGGATCAGTGGACAGGAAGGAACAGAAAGGGGTCCTGGGAGACTCAGGAGGCTCCAAGCCCTGTAGTCAGAGGCTGACAGTGCGGTACGGACAGCTCATCTCGCAGTTCTGAGGAACAAGCAAGATTTTGTAATGTGTAGTATCTTAACCTTCTGGGAAACAAAACTTGTAGATTCTAAATCCAGTATTATCTTGAGCAACACACACTTCAAAGGTACAGAACCAACTCTATTCATGCTTACGATATAAAGGCTTTGTAACTGTGCTGTTTGAATTGACAAGCATGTAATTTGTTGAGAAACACTATTAAATGATATGAAATAAATGGAAACAAAACAGTATCCAATCCAAAACCAGGTGTCAAGAAACTGAAGGCCCCTGTTCGAGGATACCATGAAAATGTCTGTAAATTGGGCATGGCTTTGTAAAAGAGAAGGAAAATTTAAATATGTCCTTTTTCACATTATAATTTACATGGACCTTTATCTAGATGGATCATTATTTATTTTACGTTATTTTGTTAGCATTGTTGTTCTATGCATGTTTTGTATAAGATATGTGCATGTGGGTGCTTGTGTGCCACCACATATGGGGAAGTCAGAGGACAACTTTGTGCAGTTGGTGTGTCCCCTCTACCCTGGCATGGATTCCAGGGATTGAACTCGGGCCACCAACTTTGTGCTGAAAAAGCCTTTACTCACTGAGCCATCTCTCTGGTCCTCAACAAATCATTTTTTGATAAAGAACTAAGCCCCCCCCCATCAGCTACTGTGACAATGACAAGCAAGAAACTGTGAAGACACAGAGGTTCTAAAGTGGGCTTTCCTTTAGGTTTCTATGCTCACATTTTTATCCTTCGTGTGATATTCCAACTAATCAGACTGGAAAGAAGCAGCAGAAATGTTTAAGCTGCAGCCCAGAAAGTGGGTTTCTATTTGTCATTCTGATTTGTTCTGAATGCGAGTGATGCTTCATGCAGAAAGATTAATGTGCAAAAAGCAGAATCTAAGCCTGTTAATTTTCCCTGATAAATCCAAGTATTTTCCATAATACAGACTTAGGTCTCAGGATACACGATTTTAATGCTGCTCTTCAAATTAAAAGCACTACAGGAGTGAGCTTTTAGTTTTATCCAGGAACAGCCTCTGAAGTCACCACACTGAGCTGTTTTGTTGCTTAGGATCAAAGACAAAGAAACAAAAAATGTTGCTAGTTTAGACCATATTCAGTTTATCATTTGGTCCAAATTTCATCATATTCAAACTACAAAAAAATTCTCTGAAAAGGAAAACTCTCTCTCTCTCTCTCTCTCTCTCTCTCTCTCTCTTGCAAACACACACATACACACGCGCACACACACAGAAAAACAAAAACAAAGTTGATGGTATTGTAACACTTCTCTGTAAGATTATTAGGGAAATGTATAAACGCAACATCTTTTCATTCATATTAACATCTGGAAATGAAAAACCAAAACCCCTCAAGGTCCATATATTGGAAAAAATCCACACAAACAAGCAGAGGTCCGGAATTCTTGTAAAAACTGCTGAACAAACTCTTCCATTTCTTTTGAGGTTCATCAGGATAGGCAGTTTTTTAACATTTGTGCTTCATGGCAAGCTAAGAGAGAGACGGGAGGGGGGATGAAAAAACAAAAAGAGAGACCTTATTAGCAGGGCCTCTCTCTGCTGTCCCTTCCCACATCCAGTGAGTCACGGCACCGGATCCCACACTTGGACTACCATCCACAGTGGCTCCTGGGAAACATAACACTTTCTCCACTAGTTTTCTGGATATTGTGCTTGCAACTCTTCCTCAGGGTAATTTTGTTGGTACTTGCGATGTCCTGTGGTGGAGAATGTTTTATGGTGTTCCTTCATCCCATTGAAGGAACAGAACAAGTGATTTACCTTAGGGCAATCACAGCATCTTCTTGGTGGTGTCAAGAGAGAAGTTAGAATCCTGGCACTTCAACCAGGGAAAATAGCATAAACATTTCTGCATGTGATAGAGGATGTCTGGACCCAGAACTAGTTAATCTCTGCAAGGAAACCCTTAGTTGAAAGAGCTCCTGGTGCCCCTGTCTGGTGGTGCCAGTCAGGACCTCCACAGACCTCTCTTTGGCTGATGCTGGTCAATCCACTGTCAGATGCAGAGTTTGGGAGCTCTGAGTTTTGAGGGTGTCATGCTGAATGCTGAAGGACCGTTTGCCAAGAAGTGTGGAGGTATCTAATAACTTCTGACATTATAAAGCTTATCGTCAAGGACACAGTGGAAGGATAGAGCTGGGGCTCTACCTCAGACCTGTCCCATTACTTAGCCACATTCTGAGCCCCTTATTGTAGGGCCCAGGCTTCTTATCCTGCTTCTAGTTTTCATACATTATTTAGCAATGAGGTCCATCAAATAAACACAGAACTGTTAAGTGTTGTGCATAATGAATAGCAACCATAAATATTTGATCAAGGCTGCTGTCTGGTAGTCACTGAGCTGTTAACTTTCCACTAATTGGCCTGTGCCAGTTCACACACAGAAGTGATTCTTCTGCTTCTGCTCTTACCAGGCCCTTTCCCACAGCACTGCATCTGGAATGGAGCTACGGGAAACCTCTGGACCATGACCCCCTATGCTTTGCAGAAATACTACTGGATAGAGCTATGAGCTGCCTTTAGGGTGTGAATGTTTGTGTCTCCCCAAAAGTAGTATGCTGAAACCTAACTCCCAATGGGGTGGCATTAGGAGGAGGGCTTGGGAGGTGACTGGTCATGAGGGCAGAGTCTTCAGAATAGGTTACAGAGACCCTTTCCCTTCTCACCATGACCAGACACACTCAGAAGTGAATCAAGAAACGGACTCTTACCAAACATGGGATCTAGCACCTTGATCTTGAACTTCCTAGGCTCTGAATTGTGAAAAATAAATTGTTATTTAGTAGCTGCCTGAACAGTAGCCTGAATAGACCAGTGTAGATATTTTGGCAAGAAATGGTGTTGGTCTGGTTAGTAAAAATTCCTCATCATTAAGAGTTTTAGAATTAAGAGCAGAAAGAGCACTAAACTAAAAAAGATCAGGAAACCTGATTTTGCAAATTTGCTGTGTGACCTTGAGCTCTCAAGTCAGGAGTTCTATACCTTAGGCGCTACCTTATATGGTGTAAAAATGCCTCCAACTCAGTGGATTAACTCAGTTATCAGAGCTCTTAGACTTTACAACTTCTTCTTGATCTTTTTTGCTTTCTTAATATTTCACAGAAAGACTATTTTGAAGTCTCATAATCTATTCGATCTAACAATGATAATAAAACATCATTACTAATATTAACAGGTACTCTTAGAAGTCTAAGACCCTTCCCTTCTGGCCTGCAGACCCAGGGGGAGCAACTGGCATCAGTAGGAGGAGAAATTGCTTCTCCCTCCCATGGAGGGTATGGTTCTTCCCCCTCACGAACGTGGGCTTGTACAGAATAGGCCAGATCAATGTTCTTTTCAGCGAGAAATGTCATTTGAGGATGCCTAGGTGTGGGTAACGTTCCTGCCTGCTGACTCACTGCCCGTGGCGGGCTGTCAAAGCTTGATGGGACATACTGCAACCCTGTGCTTTTGGGGGCAAAACAAAGTGAGCAACACTTCTTCTGTGGCAAGTTTCTCTTTCCTAACGGCTGGGTCTATGCCAAGTCCACAGCTCAGGAAGGAACCACACTTCCTCAAACGGCTAACAGGAGCTGCGCTGAGGCGTGTGCTAGGAGAGCAGGGAAGGATATTTTTCCCGTTCTGCTCCGTAAGGTCCAAGCACTCACATAGCTTGAAGATGGGGCTATGCAAAAGTGATTCATTCACTCTTGGACCTGGTTCATTGCAGGGGTCTTGGGGAAAAAATTAGAAGGACAAAGCCCACCTACTGTAGTCTCAAAAGGTAGAACACATTTTCCTTCTGGGGTTGGCTGTCCTCAGAAAAACCATCACCTTTAATGGCTGTTCTCTGCTTGGGGCTCTGCCATGCCCACTGCCTCTTCTTGTAAACACAGCCCACTCTTCATGTCTCTGGAGGGTAGTGGTGGTAGAGGGCCTGGGTTCCATCTTTGAGCTCTCTACTTACCAGCAGGCCTATCGGGGGCTTGGCCAGGGAAATGACATCTTCAGGGCCAGCCTATACCAACGGGGCCAAATCAGCAGTCCTAGTCCTGAGAAAACAGCCACACCTTATCTAAAGAGGTCAATCTGCTCGTAAGGAATACTGCCAATGCTGGTGATTCATAAGCACATAACCCCATTTTAGAAAACTGCAAACCTAGCTCTGACACTGTGTCACACTCCCTCATATACACTGACTTCACGGCTTCTCCTCTCCCCTCCAACGCCCCTCCTCAGGGAGCACACCTACCAGAGGGGAAACCAACGCAAAGGCAACGGTTTCTGCCTCATCCCTCTCCATTAAGAGCAGACAACGACCTGGTACAGACTTTCCATTGACCAAAGCCAGAGACCTTTTGCTTCTGGCAGCCTCATCAATTTCTGGCCTGACAGGTCCTGATTTAGGGGCTGCTTTGTTCAGACACTATCAAGTTTAGCAGGACCCCCTTGTACTCTACTTCCTTTGTGTTTGGCTGACATAATCCTCACCTGTATTCCCTCTTTGCTGTGTTGACTGTTCTCAATCACCTGTAATAATTCTCCAGCCTCATTATGTGACTTAATGGGGCAGGTTCAGCAACAGCTACGTTTATTGAAATAAGCCATAAATAATTCATGTTCATATGCATTCCATATTGTGCTAATAGCTTCAAACTGATTGAATCCTTTCAGTACCCTAGGAGACAGTTACTATCATTAATTGCCTCTGTTTTACACATGGGCTTAGAGAAATTTAGCATTTGTCCAAGGTCACCAAGATGGTAAATGCAGAGCTGGCTTCAAACATGAGCTGTTAACTACTATACCATATTGTTTCCCAATCACCCAACAAACTTGGCCACAACGCCTGGGAAATGGTTGCAATGGCCAAGAACTTGAGGGATACACGCCTATGTGCATGACATCCAGGTATTGTCTATCTCACCTTAGGAAGAATGATTTCACAGCCTCCTTGGTAACCTGGCTCATGGTTTAATCATTAACCTAAAGTTTTGTTTTAGCAGAATTTTATCAGTGCACTACTGATTGCTCAATTCTGTGTGGGAAGGCATGAGAGATAACTGAATTGCCTGGAATACCTAACCTTTGTAAATTTTAGGACAGTTACAGTTACTCCTTTTAGCTTTCTCTTCCCTAACTCAACACTGTTTCCCCAGATTTCCACTGTCCATGCATGACCTGTTAACTCACTTAAGTTGCTGTTGTTCGAAATGCATCTGGGGCTGGAATTCTAGCATTTCCGTGCCATCATTACATGTGCAGACAAAGGCTTGGAGAAGGAAGTGGGGTGCTTAGGGAAACCATGAATCTGACTTCACTTCCTCTGCTACAGCTCATCAGTGTGAGGCCCTGGCCTCAGCTGGGCTACCTGCCTCCTCAGACAAACTGGTCAGTTCCCTGCCAAGACACGCCACATGGGCCCTAGAGGCAGCAGTACAGTAAGACGGTGCTGTGACAGACAGTCACTGAAACACCCGGACAGGTCTGTGCAAAGGGGATCATGGAGGAAAGGCAGAAATATCCACCCAGAGCCCATCCCCAGTCACCCTTGGCTGTGAGTCCCGGAGGGGCCTCAGCCCAGCAGGGCACAGTTCTCTCTTTACTTTTTAGGTTGCCCATTCTAGTTTCCTCAGCAGAAGTGGAATAATCTGTTGGAGTCAACTGACCGCCCCCCCACAAGACCAAAAATATATCTGAAGGTCCAGATCATGAGCCTGACAGGCCAATATGTCATCGGCACAAGTGGTTTCTGGAAACTTAAATTCAAATCGCTAGCCAGAAAAGAGCTACTCTTTAATCTGAAGCACAAGCAGGGTAATAAATCTTCCTTATCACTTGACCAATGGGTCCCCTCTTTCTTTTGGGTTATGATTGCCCTAGATAGTGGCTGCCAGTAAATATTCCCTTTACCTTCTGAAAGGCAGTTCTCAGCAAAAGTATGAACAAGGGTGGTAAGTGCTCAGTCACGTGGGAAGCCCAGTCTCTGAGTTCAGGAACAGGAGAGAACCTTGCTGGCAGCTCTGCTCAAGATCAGAGCTCCAGAATGGGGGCCCTGAAGCAACGCCCAGGTCCTTGTAGAGGGGAAACCAGACTTGAGACCAGAGCTTGCTTTGTGCCAGGTTCTGAAGAGATAAGGGCACAGGATGACAGATGCAGGATGAGAAAGCGATAGACTGGAAAAGACTCTCAAGCAGCCTCAAGTACACTGTAACTCTTTCAGTCTGTGGCCAAGGGCAGGAATGTATCCTGAGACCTATCTCATTTCTCTCTCATTCTGTGTCCTGAAACTTCAGTCTTGATCTGTGGGGCAGAAACTAAAGATTGTCCACATTTCCTAAAATATCAAGGTCAGAGATAAGAGAGGGGATGACAGCATTAGAGAGGAGATGGTAACTACATAAACCAGGTACAAAGAAAAATTTCAAGACTCTGCTAAGTAGTAAGTAGCATATGGGAACCCTCAAAAGGAGTAAAAGAAAAGCTGTTGGAAGCAGGGCGTGGTGGCGCACACCTTTACTCCCAGCACTGGGAGGCAGAGGCAGGCGGATCTCTGAGTTCAAGGCCAGCCCGGTCTACATAGTGAGTTCCAGGCCAACTGGGGCTACAGGGAGACCCTGTCTCAAAAAGATAAAAAAAAGAAAGAGAAAAAAAAAGCTGTTGGACTATATCTACCGTAGGGAACACTGAAATAAAACTTTTGGCACTACAACCCCTGATTACCCTCATGGAGGCCCCTGGCCTCTGCTGCCTTACCTTGTGTGCAGTTTCTGCAAACTGCTGGGCGCTGTTCTTCATGTCTTCTGTCTTCTCCTCTGCTCGGCCTAACCGCTCCCCGCGCTCATTCAAGGCCTGGCTTGCCTTCTGTACTGCACTGGTCACACTATCGGCGGCTGAATGGAGGATGCTGTTTCCTGGGAGGAAGGAGAGCAAGAGCATCAGGAGCTTGCTTAGCTAAGTTACAGTCACAGGTCCCCACACTGTGGAGAGGTCTATGGTGACCAGAAAGCAGGTTTCCATTCCTTCTGGCTGACTCATTCACTGGAGACAGAATATCTACAGACCAACAACCAGACCAGGGCAGATCCTGGCTTCTCTCCTCACCCATCCATTCTGTGCATTCTGCCTGGCAAGGATCAGAAAGATGGGCTCCACTGGGATCTAAGACTTGAGGATAAAGCCAAATGGGAACCAGGCAAGTTCACAGACTTACACAAGCTCATTGAGATCTTATATACATTTCAACTTATTTATTATAGAGATTTTATATATTTATATAGCCTTTCTGTCTCTCTGTCTCTGTCTCTGTCTCTCTCTGTAGCACATGGAGGTCAGAAAACAAGTTCACTTATGGGAGTTGATTCTCTCATTGTACCATGTGAGTCCTGGGATTGGAACTCAGGCTGTAGGGTTGGCAGCAAGTACCTTTACCTGCTAAACTTCTAAAAATCTCACTGCATTACTTACTTACTTACATACTTACTTACTTAATTACTTAATTAATAGGGACGGGGTCCTACTCCTTAGTCCAGGCTGTCTTGGAACTCCAGCCTCCTGTTTTTGCCTCCTAAGTGGTAAGATTATAGGCATGAACTCCATGCTGGGAAAAACCTGTGGTAATTTTTTTTTGTCCTTGGGATTGGACCTAGAACCTTATAAGTGCTAGACAAGCACTTCAGCCCTTCATTTTCTTTTGCTCTGACGTTTAGGCAAATAATCACAGGGAAACTGAGGCCTTAGGGCTTTTTCAGATATAACACTCCACATAGTTTCCAATTCTTTCTTTCCTTTGATTTTACTCATCTAGCAAGAAAGCCATACCCCCACTGTATGGCTCCTAAGAGCCATGAATCACCTATGAACTTTTAAATTCCAAGTAGATGTGCTGGTTTCCAACTTTGAATCCTGTGATATGGCATTGTGCTGGATAGCTTTAGTGTCGACTTGACACACCTGGGTTGAGGGACCCTCAATTGGGGAAAATTACCTCCATTGAACTGGCCTGTGACCATGTCTGTGGGGCATCTTCTTGATTGTTGAGTGATGTGGGAGGGCCCAGCTCACTGTGGGTGGTGCCACCCCTGGGCAGGTGGGCCTGTATTGTATAAGAAAGCAGGCTGAGCAGGGGCCAGGGGAGCA